AAAAATGTTAACTAAGGCCCTCTTCCACGAGGGTGAGTGGTGGAGTTGGGTTTGTGTTTTCTGAACTCAGTGTTCAAATGCCTCCTCAGCACATCCCACGTGTCCTCCTGTGGGCATCACTCTGGGCACACCTCGCCCCAGCTGGCTCCCCTTCCCTATGATCTCCACTCCCTGCCTTCCTCCCCAGTCAGCCCTGTTGTTATAGTTGATATCCCTGTTCAAAAACCTTGGTGGCGTCGGGTGTTGATCTCAGCATCAAATGCAGTGTCAAAGCTCATTCAGCCCTGATGCCTTTATCTTCAGAATATACCTGGAATGGGCTGCAGACACCTGTCCTGTTCCCTGGTCTGAGCCACCGTCCCTTCCTACCTGCCCTCTACCCCTCTGTCACTGTTCAACCCAGAGTCAGAATGGTTCTGTTTAAAACCTGATCACCTCATGGACTAAATTCTTCCAGGAGTTCTCTGCCTCAGATTGAAGCCGCAGTGCCCTGCCAAAGCCTGCCAGCTCTGTTTCCGCCTGCCTGTCTTAGTGTCCTGTCCTCCTCAATCCCTGTGCAGACAGACTCTGTCCATGGGCTGCTGAACTTGCTTCTCTCTCCTGGATATTCACCCCAGGTGTCCATGGGCTTGTTCTCTGTTAGGAGCCACTTTCCAGATGTGGCCAGTGCCCACCTGTGTCCTGCACTCCCTGCTTCTTTTACTGTGCAGCTCTTGGTGACATCTGGCATGCTGTATGTTTACCTGCTTCTTCATTATAATCTCTGTCTCTACACTGCTGTCCACCACGGGATGGACTTTGTCTTGTCCACACTCTGTCTCCAACAACTGAAGTGGTGCTTGGTGCATTTTAGATGCCCACTAATGCTTGTTTCCTAGGTGAGAGAACAAGTAGATGATGGGTGCAGGACTCTGATCTCAGCGAGCCTTCCAGCCTGCGTTTGGCATTAGGCAAGTGGGGTTGGTTTGGTGTGAGCCTCACTTTTTGTGGATAAAGAGTACTTGTGTCCCTAGGGATGACTGAGAGTGGGTAATTGACAGTTTGCCTTGTGCTGAGGTGATTGATATCCTAGTCTCAAGCTGACCATTTACCTAGTAGGTCTCTGTAGAAGCTTTGTAAGATTGACATACAAGCATCACTTGAGTTCCATAGTCTGGGAGAGATAATGGAGCACTTCTTCAGAAAGCATGTGTTCATTTAACCCTTCCTTCTCCAATAGTGTACAACGACAGCTGAGGGTCCATTGTTATAGAACCACTTCTACTATTCTTGTTCTTTGTATGGAAACGTGTAAATATTTTTAAATTTTTTTACTGCCTTTCCTCCTTTTTGTTTTAGAAAGTGTGGAGTTTCAAAATTCTGTACCTCATGAGTATTTTAATTTATATTAGCTGAAAATGATCCATTAGTTTATTTATTTGACTAGTTAGATTCCATGTTTTCCTACATTCCTAGCAGAGTCTCCCTGGAAGAAAATTTCTGTAATACTATTTAAATACAGTGATGCTGCGACACACAGAAGGAAGAGGAAGTCCCACTGAGTCTTCCTTGGCGGGTCCTGGAGCCCTCTGCTCCCTGCCGGCCCTCCAGCTCCCAGCCTCCCCCTGGGAAACAGGCGTGGTTATCTCAGACTTTCCTGGGACCTGGGAGGGGAACATGTCAAGAGCTCCATTCTACACAAATCCAGTGGAGAGTTAAAAGTATCAGTAAAGGTGAGAATGAATTAATTGAGAGAGTTCCTCTGATTGTCCTGAAAAAGATATTTGGGAACATATTGTGCTGTTGAAATCTGCAGCTTGCTTCTGTGGCTAGTGGTGTTGGTTTTACTGGGGGGTGCCTCTCTGTCCAGCAGCGTCTGCTGACAGGGTGAGGTCCGCACATTCCCTTGGCTCTGTTCTGCCTCCTCGAGGTGCCTGTGCTGGGCTGCAGTCATCTGTGTACCTGCCGCTTGCTTCTTAACTCTTCTTAGACCTTTTATCCCACCCTGACTTTCCCTTTGTAGTCACWCTATGATAATTTTGCCTTCTGTTCTTTTCTTAAATTCACCATTGCCCTGAAGACAGGTTGGGCCAGAGGCAGTTGTGAGAYCCTGGGTTGGATCCTCAGCATCACATTTAAAAAAAAAAAAAAAGATATTGTGTCTATCTTTATCTTTTAAAAATAAATAATTAGGGCTGGGGATGTGGCTCAAGCGGTAGCGCGCTCGCCTGGCATGCGTGCGGCCCGGGTTTGATCCTCAGCACCACGTACCAACAAAGATGTTGTGTCCGCCGAGAACTAAAACATAATAAATATTAAAAATTCTCTCTCTCCTCTCTCACTCTCTCTTTAAAAAAAAAAATTAATTAATTAAAAACAAAGGGAATGTTTGGGGCTGATGAKCACCAGTAAAGGAAACAGAAACAACTATGAGACGGTTTCATAAACCAGGCAGTACTTTGTGTATCAGGTGTCAGTTCCTGAAGGTACAAAGATAAGGCAGCRTTCCTGCTGTTGAATAGTTCATGGGTATTTTTGTGGTGACAGAGAAGTAAACAGTCTTACTTTAGTATGACAAATGCTTTCAGTGGTGACAGTGGACAGATGGAGAGGAGTGTCACTGCCTATAGGAGACACCTTGGGTAGACACCTAGCAGGGTCACTTCATTTTGTGTTTTTACAGTATTCCTGTCTGGTACCAGGCTGAACTGTGTGTTGGAGGTTCAGTATGGAGGGCGTTGGGCTTCCCTGCTTCATGGGCTTCTAAAGAGAGATTGCTGGGCACAGTGGATTACACACCCTGTAATCCCAGCTACTTAGGAGACTGAGACAGGAGGATTGCAAGTTCAAAGCCAGCCCAGCAATTGAGCGAGACTCTGACTCAAAATTTCAAAAAAGGACTGGATCTGTGACTTGGTGGTAGAGCACCTCTGGGTTCAGTCCCCAGTATCACCACCAAAAAAAAAAAAAAAAGAGGAAGAAGGGAGACACATTAAAAATAACCATTGTAATTTAATGAATATAAGAACTGCAAACATGAGAAACACCTTGAAAGAAACAGACAAGAAGCTGAGATGAGGTGGAATGTGTGAGTGTGGGCATCTGTGCAGCTGATGAGGTGGAGTGTCTGAGTGTGGGCATCTGTGCACGGAGCTGTTTGACATAGGGCCTCTTGGACAGAGAGTAACTTTCAGGCTAAAACTTGAAGGAGGGGCTGTAGGTCTTTTTGCATCACAGCTCCAGAAGAGTAACCCACATGCACCCATGTGCCAACTCTTCTCCCAGCTGAGCATGACATCCTGAGGTTCTGCATCCCTTGCATCTGGTAAAATAGAAGTTGCATGAAGGTGCAGAGTGTGGGTGGGGACAGTGTGGACAAGTATTCAGAAAGCATTTTGAACATCTTACATATGATACCTGGAAGTTTACCATGTCACTGAGTTGATTAAATTTAATAATTATCAGTTAATTATGTTTTAAGGTGACTTGAGGATTAGACTTTAGAACTGAAATGGCTTTCATAATTTACTGGTAGGATAAACTAAGAAGAGAATTAGGCAGGGTGAGAAAAATGGTACTTTTTTCYCAGGGGAATGGAAGAGGTAGAGCAGGTTTATGGTCCTTAAGATCATGAAGGATGCTCTCTCTCTCTTTTTTAAATTTATTTTTTAGTTGTAGGTGGACACAATACCTTTATTTCATTTTTATGTGGTGCTGAGGACTGAACCCAGCGCCTCACCTACACTAGGCGAGCACTGTACCCCTGAGCCACAACCCYGGCCCCATGAAGGATGGTCTTCGAAGCCTAGAGGGCATGAGTCTGCTCTCCAAGCAGAGGGGRATTAGGCTGACTGAGGAATGATTTCTTGGGAATGTGTGGTCTAAACGCAGGTCCCGTCCCTTAAGTCTTGGAGTTTCTTCCACCCTGGCCTGTCAGGTGTGGAGGAGGAGCCCACGTCCTCACGGGCCATGTTCCCGTCTGCTTTCTAGAGTGGAAGTGTTGGAAACGGGCCCTCAGACTGTGGGCCGACATTGTGAGACATAGTGTAACTAGTRTCCTGTCTTGACACATTGAGAGACACCGATTGTTTGCCAAAGGTGGCCATTGGCACTGCACGACTGTGCTGTGAGCAGAGAGGTGGGGGAAGAACAGACTCCTCCTGGTGGGGTCAGCTCCCTGCCCCTCCTGCCTAGTGCAGGTGAGTCTCTGCCAGGAGGGTGCAGTGAGACGTTCTGCTCCAGGCACACAGAGTACATGTGTTGCCTCCAAGCAAATGGATTTCATGCCTTTTGTTTTTGCAGTTTCCCAAATTAAATTAACCTAATCTAAGGTAACTGTGTCTGCAGTACCTGGGGTAGAACCCAGCCGCCTGCTTGCTGGGCAAGCACTCCACCCCTGAACCACACCCACATTCCTATCTGTGCTTCCTGTGTAGCTCATTTTTTTTTCCTTTCCAAATTATCCATTTAATTAGAACACTTTTAAAAAATGGGGGAAGTGTTGCCATTGTCTTGCTTGCAACTTGATTTTGAAGTCCTCTTTTCCTTCAAATAAGCCTAGCTCCTGTGCCTGGCCTGCCCTGCTCGGTGGCTGGCATGCACTACTTTGAGAGCAGGGAAGGGGCAGCAGTCCCTGTTCTCCTTTCCTCCTCCCTGTGCTGTTGCCCTCACCTCTCCCACTTCTCACCCAGAAGCCCTTGTCTCCCACCCTTCGCCTTTCCCAAGCAGTCATGTCCTACCTTCCCCCACCCGGGGCTGGAGGCAGCAGCTGGCAGTGTGGTGTTGAAGGAGGTGCTAGGTCACAAGAGGCCAGGTGTATGACCTCTGGACCTCCTTTTCTGGGGCATGACATGAAGAGATAGGACCTGATCACTGGCTCATAGAAGACCCCTGGTCTTGAAAGCCCTTTTATGGTAGAAATGTCATCATTTTGTAGTCCCCTAAGAGGAATGAACTCTCTTTACATGCCTTTAGTGCTTGGACTTTCCTCATTTAAACCTCCTGCCTTTTGTCTGTTGTAGCCCGATGATGATCATCACTCAGAAGATCACCAGTTTGGCTTATGAAATTCATGATGGTAAGAATTCTGAAATTAATTCTTCATTTCTGAATATAGTCCCATTCAAATAATCTTTTGCTTGAGGTACTACCACAGTTCTCTGCTCCCCGCAGAGTGCCAGGACAGCATGGGGTGAGGTGGGGGTTTGACGGGGCTTGGGCTGCCCAGGCTGGCTGCCCTGGTGGCTTCTTTGTTCTGCTTTGTTGGCTTGTTTGCAGTCCTGCAGTTGGAACTTGGAGCCTCGMAGACGCCGGGCAAGTGCTGTACCCTAGAGCTACATCCCAACCCTACCTTGATTTTTTTTTTTTAATATTTTTTTTAGATGTATGTGGTCAAACAATATCTTTATTTCATTTTTATGTGGTGCTAAGGATTGAACCCAATCCTCACGTGTGCTAGGTGGGCACTCTACCACTGAGCCACACCCCCAGCCCCCCACCTTGATTTTTAATTCAGTTCAGCAACAAAAAGTGAAGTAGCAGATCCAATCATTTGGCCCGMATTAGTGACAATTTAATATACGAAGAAAAGAGACTTTGGTTCTAAATCTACTTTCATTTCTGTTTCATCTCTGCCTTAAATTTATATTAAAATTTTTATGTTTTCCTACCCCTCCCTCTGTATTTACAATGCATAGGTACATATTTACATATATTTTTAGGGTGAGCATTTATATATTTTATTTCAAATGGATGTGTAACCACAGGAAATGATAGCAGTTAGAACTCTGAATCACAGAATTTAGGCTCTGGTTTCTGTGGAGATGGAAGAGTGATCCCGTGTGCCTCCTCCACCCAGCCTGTGCCCACTGCAGCCAGAATGCACTGTACAGGTAGGGGCCAGCCTTGACAGAGCTGTGAAGAGAGGGAGGGTGTTCCTCTTCTTCCCTTTGGCAACTGACAAGCAGAATTAAACGACTTAGCTTTTTGGAGGAATAGAGGGAGAGAATAGATGACTTTCAAGGAGTGTCAAATACTTGTTTAATCAGATGTGTGTATTGAACAGCAACTCAACGTCTGCCCTTCTGATGTGGAGATCTGAGGCAGGGAGAGGCAGAACTGGCATCTGAGTCTCTGTGGGGTGGTGGCAGCTGAGACAGATGGCCTCTGAGGGGGGCACATTCCTGTTTCAGGTTTCTTATATGTAAAGTCATAGTTCRAGATCCCCTTTGGAGGGTCTTTTCAAGGGATAATAGCTGATTTATATTGTCTCACGGGTTCATGTCCTCAACAGTGAAGTGGGTCGTGCTCTCCAGACAGGGTACTAAACCAGTCATGAAACTTTAARTTATGTTTGGGTGCTGAGACTTCCACGTCGTGGTGATGACAAATCATGCCCAGGACTCTGGGAGGAAAATGTAGGAAAGTCATGGATCAGAGATCTAATTTTATTGGTTTAGAAGACATGAGAATATATATTCAACTCAGAGCTTTAAAAAAAAAAAAAAAAAAAAAAGCAGCAGAACTTCATTTCCTGACCTGTTCTTTTAGTTATTTCTTTGGAGCAGTTTAGATTTTGTTTAGCCTTGGCAATAGTTGAAGAGTTTAGACTTCAAAATGGTGCCCCTGCAATCGGCCTCAGTCCATTCTCCTGGTCTCCTAGGCTGGCCCTSCTGCATCCATACCCTGCCACTTGATGCTCACGGGGCAGAGGGTTGGCCCTCTGGCCTGTTTCCCCAGCAGTCTTACAAAGGAGGGCCTCCTCATCTGTGTGTTGGGGACACCAAGCCCATTCAACTCACCGTGTCATTGAATTCATGTCTCATACTTGCTACAGTGAGGATTCCAGGCAAAGTTGATCAGMATCAAAAGGACTTGTAGTGTGGTCTGGAGGAAAACAGGCTCGGGTTTCCAGGAATCCTCAATGCAGTTCTAGAGGATGTGCTGGATCCCCCAGCAGCAAGTCACAGCAAGGCCTGAGAAGTGTGGCCTGCCAGGGAGTTCGCTAGGACTCAGCACCCAAGGCTTTTAGGGACCAGTCACATAGGCACCCAGAGGGCAAGCAGGACTTCACAGTAAGCAATATTTTTGGCACAAACTTCCAGATATGAGGAGCATTGGTCTGTCCTTTTATTCTTTTGGTACCGGGAATTGAACCCAGGGGCACTTTGCTACTGAGCCATATCCCCAGACTTTTTTTWATTTTTTATTTTGAGATAAGGTCTTGCTAAGTTTCTTAGAGCCTCAACAGCGGAGACTGGTCTCAAACTTGTGATCCTTTTGCTTCAGCCTGGGATTACAGGCATGTGCCACTGCACCTGGCATAAGAGAGCATTTATATTGGTAGGGACATTTTGCCAACTGAGTGAGCCCTGGGTCCATCTTCTTACCAGTAGGCCTTTCTGAGCACTGCACCTCAGCAGGTGGGGCCTTTCTCTGCAGTCGCTGGTCTTTTTTCAGAGGCCACCCCGGGGCAGTGCTCACACAGGCAGCCTCAGGAAGCAGGTGCTCTTTGGTCTTGGAAACTGCTAGGCGTGATTTTTGAGACATCTCATCACCCTCACAGGATTGGCCTCCCTCCCWCCCTCTCTTTCCTGGTTTTGAAGTATGCGTATGGCATTGCTGAGGCCTCAGGTAGATGAGGTCCTGAAGGTGTGCTTGTCGCCTGGCTGCGCGAGTGTGTGGCATGTTTCCTCTGGCGCCTCACAGGAGGACCGTGCAGTGTTGCTGGGGCCTGTGCCTGGCRTGGGAAGGTGGGGAGCCTTGTTTCCTATCAGATGCAGGCCGCATGACTTGTACTAGGTTGGATTTCTGGCTTTAAAAACTGGCATCTTGTCTTTAGTCTGTTTTTGGTCATTCTATTTAAGTGCCCAACTTGTGAACCGAGAAGGGAGGCTCCTTTCCTTGCACAGGCAAACACGTAACACAGAACGGGTCCAAGAGAGTCTCCTTTAAGCCCATTTCTACTTTCCTTGGCTCGTTTGCTACTCTAAAATGATAGTAGCCTCCCCGGTCAGGATAGCAAACCAAATGGACACAGAAGCCCACGACACCAAAGGCGTGGAAATGCTGACAAAACAGCACAAATATGACATGGAGCATGGCTTGGCCTCCCCAATGGGGCTGTCACCGTGGCCCCTTCCTGGTAAAAGGAGCAATGTCCCTGCCCACAGAATGGGAAGGAGTTTTTCTAAAATATACTGATCCTCATTTCCAGAGAGAGCCCTTGGTTTCTTTTTGTTTTGTTTTTAAGAAAATGGTGGACAGGGGCTGGGATTGTGGCTCAGTGGTGGAGCGCTTGCCTGGCATGTGTGAGGCTCAGGGTTTGATCTTCAGCACCACATAAAAATAAATAAATGGAGATATTATGTCCACTATAACTAAAAAGTATAGAGACTATTAACAAAAAGAAGAAAAGAAAAGAAAGAAAGAGAATGCTGGACAGCAGAGTTTCTGACCTGGGGAAGAAAGCAGAGTTTAAAGTCCCAGAAGTCTTCCTTGGCCTCTTCCTGACCACTGTTCACCTTTCTCTGGTCTACAGTTTTAAGGCTTTTTCCTTCTGATTACAAAATGTAGGTTTATATTCACTGAAGGAAATTTGAAAATACAAATTAAATCCAAAGAAAAAAAATAATGATCCTTTGTGTCTCTCTGCCAGAGCTCTTCAGAGCCAGAGCTGCTTTGTACTAATGTTTCCTTTGTGTTCTTAGGAAGCCTGGYTCTCTTTAAAATGTTTTTGTTGTTGTAGTTGGACACAGTACCTTTATTTAATTTATTTATTATTTATCTGTGGTGTTGAGGATCAAACCCAGTGCCTCGTATGTGCTAAGCGAGCGCTACCTCTGAGCCACAACCCCAGGCCCCTGGTTTTCTTCTTATACAATTATCAAAAGTAAATGTGGGGGCTGGGGTTGTGGCTCAGCGGTTAAGTGCTCACCTGGCATATGCAAGGCCCTGGGTTAATCTTCAGCACCACATAAAATAAATAAATAAAATAAAGGTATTGTCAACTACAACTAAAAAATATTTTTTAAAAAAGTAAATGTGCAGTTATTTGCCCATTCCCTAATTGTTGTATACATAGGTAGTTTCTTTTTTTTTTTCCCCCTATTATGTACAAGGCTGTGGTGATCCATAGTATATTTCAAATCACACCTTTGTGTCATTTCCTTACATTAGAGTCCTGGTGCTTTTCTCCACTGGTGGAGAGGAAGATGACATGGGTTTTTCTTAGTAGTCCATTTATTTTTTATTTATATTCTTTCTCCCTACCAGAATATAAGTGCTGCACCCTTATATTCTATTTTCCTCTACTTTTACCCCAGTGCCTAGGATAGTTCCTAGGCATTTTAGGTTCCTAGGCCATAGAATAGTTCCTGTGGCATTTTAAGACTAACAATTTTCTTCTTATCTTTSTTTTGTATACACACATAGTAATATTAAAGTGTGTAACATAATTGAGATCATGTTATATGATCACATTTCCATTGTTAATGAAATTACAAATCTGTCATCATCATAAAGGTAGCATTTTATACATTAATTGAATACTTGTTTCTTGTATGATTTGTTTTTCATGTTTTCCTGTCCGCCTTAATGTGTTTTGGTTAGTTTGGTTTTGATTCTTAGGGGTATGTTAACATTGTATCATATTTACTGTAAATATTTCCTAAGTCTGTTATTTGCTTCTTAATTTAGTCCCCTTTTGGTCTTTAGATTGGATTTAGGGTATATATATTTTAAAGGATATAGATCTAGTAAACTGATATGTAGCCATAGCAATAACTTTCTATTTGGGAAGAAATATATATTTGAATACAATTTTGATTTGAGTTTCCGTTCATTGGAGTCATGTGGGGTAAGGAAATTATTCCTTGCTTTATGTTGAGATTCTACTTTGTAGCACAGATTTTAGTGATTTAAATCATCCAATAATAAAAAAAATTAAGGCTGCTTTTTGGAAAAGTCATAGCATTTACTGTTAAGAATAATATATTTGTAAGTTTAAAAAGGGGCATGGGGCTGGGCCTGGCGCTCAGCAGGAGCACACTTGCCTGGCATGTTTGAGGCACTAGGTTCGATTCTCAGCACCRCATATAAATAAATAAAATAAAGGTCTGTCAACAACTAAAAAAATTTTTTTGTTGTTTAAAAAGTACTAGCATATCGGAATTTTTAAAATTTAACAAGTTTCCTTTAGACAGCAGTCATGTTAGTGGCTTTGTTTGCTGACAGTGTGCTGTTTATGTTATACAGACCTGGGTGTGTTGGACTGCATGATGGTCCTTTCACATGATTRAAACTGTTGCCATGAGAAAGAAAGGCACAGTTGTTGAGAATATAGCATGAATTTCAAGTGATGTAAGCATGAATGGGGAAAAATGCCCTCTTGGGAGAATTCATAATTGATAAAATTGCCTATGTTTGTTTCTCAGGGATGTTTCGAAAGGATGAAGAACTGACTCCATCACAGAAGGTCTTGGCTGTAAGGTTTGTGCCTTTGTATTATGTCCTGCCAGGTTCGTGGACCACCTCTGCCTAGAGTATGCATCACTTGTGTGGCCAAGGCTTCTTGGTCCTTCTAGAGGTATCTTGTTCAGGAAAGCCCAGGCAAGCCCAGGTTGCTTCCCTCTCCTACCTCCCTGCCACTACACATTGCCATGTGAGACTAGCTCCCCTAGACCCTTGCCCCTGGGTATTCATAGAGTACACAGCTCCTGTGGACCAGGAGGCCGTCTGCTAAGTTTTTCTCCCTGGGACTCTTTGAGTTCCTTTAAGGCGGAAGATAGTATGTCTCCCACGTAGTAATTATTAGTAGTAGTCGTAGCCACCATTCGTAGACCAGTAACTTGATAGCAGGCATTGGCCAAGACAGAATATATCAATATAACACACAGATGCCACATTTTGAAAAAATGAAGGACCATTCAGATATTGCTTATTGTTAACTTGAGGCATTAATTCTGGCATAGGCTGCTTGTTCATTTGTTACCAATACTCTGAAGCATAATCTAAAGAATAGCTTAATGTCTGGCAAGGTCTGTCTCAACTAATATAGTTAGAGATCAGATACTCAATTTACTTAAAGAAAAATTTCTTATGGAATACTTATTCCTGAGTCTTCAGCTGGTAAGTACACATCTGATAGCAGAATGAGATGACGTTTGTGACAGTAGACAGACCTGTAACAGATGTTCCCCTTGGATCCCAAGGAGCATGCCTTAGGATTCTTCTTATGTTTTCCCCACCTTTAAAAATGTTCTGTTTTATAGATAAAAGAAATTGTGGTATGTATATGTATATATTCACACACACACRCACACACATTAGAATGTTACTCAGCCTTAAAGAAGAATGAAATTATGGCATTTGGGTAGAACTGGAAAATATTGTGCTATGCGAAATAAGACAGTCCTGAAGAACCAAAGACCGAAAGTTTTCTCTGATATGTGGGTACTAATTCACAATAAGGGTCAGCGCCTAGAGAAGAATTGAGGTMATTTAGATTAGACAGAGGGGAATGAAGGAAGGAGAGGGGGCTGGGGGGTAGGAATGATATTAGAATGAATYGGACATTATTACCCTATGTGCATATGACTACATGTAGACCTGTGTAACACCACGTCATATACAACCAGAGAATGAGAGGTTGTATTCCATTTATGGATGTTGTGTCAAAATGCAAATTCTTCAAAATTAAAACCCCCCTCCCAAAAAGGAAAAAAATCAGCATTAAAAAAAAAATGTTTTCTGTCTTGTTACCAGTACCCAGCTCCTCGAGGGCACTGACTGATGAGGGTTAATTGGATCTGGTTCTCCAGCTTTTCCGAGTTCCTGGTCCAGCATCCTGTGCTCTGTTTCCCCTTTCCCTCTTGAATAGCCACCTGACGGACCCCCAGACCTGGTTCAGTTCAGCTCTCCCCCTGCCAAACAGTGGATGGAGCTGGGGGAAGACCCTGGCTGTGGCTGTTCTGGTTTTGAATCTGTCACGGGCTGTCAGTGCCGTCCTAGGTTTCCGCAGCTCTCCCTCTCTTGTGACATTACACAGTCTCCTTTCTCCCAGACTCCCCAAGCTTTATTTTTTGGAGAAAATAAAAGCAGCTCTACTTTATTCTACAATCCCAGAGCCTATTAGGTGGGCTGGGAACGTGGCTCAGCAGAACTGTGGACCTGCATGGGTGGGGACCCATCCTTAGCACCACAAAAACACAAAGCAAACGAAAGTGCCCCTCAGAACCTCCTGAGATCTGAAAAGAAATTCTCTACTTTCTTTCCTAGAGCCAGGAATTAACTGTCTGTAATCCACTGTTCACTTCCACACTGACTCTGCCCCGTTCCTCCTTTTTTCTCCCCCTCCGTGTGGATCATTCCCACCAGCCTAAGGGAAGAGGCTGGCTTCAGGGTGTTCTTGTTTACATCCCCCACCCCCTTTCTCTCACCTGCCCCTGCAGTCAGGTTTTTGTCCCCATTCTTTCCACATTGCTCATAGTCTTAGCAAATTTCACTGTTAGCTTGTTTTTTGTGGTGTTCAACCATTTGGTGGTAGTTGCCTGCTGACCCCTGACTTTGAGATGCCCTCCTTGCCAGCCTTCCAGGATACTACATCATGTGATTTTCCTCTTCCATCTCTGTCCCTTCATCTCCTGCACTGTTGGTGTGCTCCACGACTCAGGCCAGATATCTCATGTTTTTCCAGGCGCTCACCTGCAGCCCAGTTCTTCTGCGTACCACCTACATGTTGCTGTCTCTCCTGAGCCCCGGCCTCATTATCAGTGTCTCTGCACTGACAGTGATAGCCTTGTTCAGCTCAGAACTCTGGTCTGTCTCTCTTCCTTCCCCCACTCCTGTTTCTCATCATTGTGGCCTTGTAGTTAATTACAGTGCCCGCCATCACTGGTGCCTTTCGGGAGGATTTTCTTAGTATAAATCCACTTTACCAGTGAATCAAGGTCCTTACAACTTGATATCCTCCTGCCTCTTGAACCTGACCATGGCTCACCATTCCCACTGCTCTCAGCCCTGCCCAGACCCTCATTTTCTACTTGGCAGGTTTTCTAACTTAGTCTCCCTATTTCCCTAACTTAGTCTTTCTATTTTCTTTCCTGTCCTTTGTAGCTTCCTTTCTACTTAGCAGCCAGAGAGTCTTTATGTGCTTTGGGTTATATTATTGCCTTTCCTGATGAAAACCTCCAATGGTTTCCCATGTAATTTAGAATAAAATTTCAGACATCTGACCACAACACATAAGGCCCAATAGGAATCCAGAGCGCTACCACATTTCTTTTTTTTTTTGTTTCTCCTTTCCTGGTATTGCAGTTTGAACCCAGGGCCTTGCACATGCTAGGCAAGTGCTCTCCCACAGAGCTACATCCCTAGCCCTGTTTATATTTTTTATTTTGAGACAGCTTCATTCTAGGTTGCTAAATCTGGCCCCAGCCTGATATCCTCCTGCCTCACCCTCCCAGGTCACTGGGACGACATGTGTGCACTCTTAACTCTACAGACCACCCTATCAAAAATTCCCTCCCTACCCTCCTTTCGCTTTCTAGCCCCTGGCATGTCCTTGATTTTCTTCGTAATATGTATTACTGTCAGATTTTACACAGCATTATTTAATTGTCACTCTCCCTCTCCTCCAAACATAAAGTCATTAAGGACATGAACTTTGGTTTGTCAGTCATCTGAAAACCTATCACCTAAGTAGTGATTTACTAATTAAAATGATTCTTCCTTCAGAGACATTTGACAAGGTCAAGAGGCATTTTGGATTGTCTCAACTGGGAGTGGTGTTACTGACATCATATGGGTATGGGCCAGGGATGCTGTCAGACCTTCTATGTGCACAGGACAGTCCCCACAACAAGGAATTATTGCCAAAAAATGTCTGTAATTCTAGTGCTGAGAAATCTTAACGTAAGACCACGCATAGCTGGTATCACATCAGCACTGATGGAATGAAAGAATGAGTACTTGATTTTGTATCACAAAGAAGTATCACARTCGGGCTTCAGTTCTCATTTTAATAGCAGAGATTATGTCAGTGCTCATTCAACATGTCAATTGAGTGGGAATCACTTCAGCAAATTTCCTGGTTAAGCATTTCTCCTGTCCTTGTGCATTGCAAGACAGTACTTTGACTTGGTGAGACTGAGCCGTGCTGGGTCAGCCTGACCCAGGTTTGGGTCTAAAAGAATTGATGCTAAGAGTGGAGCTGTGCAGCCGGGGGACATGGAGTGTCTATGTTCCTCAGAGATTGAAGGTGCCTGTCTAGTGTTTGGTGGGAAAGTGTTTTGTGTCAGTATTATGCAGGACAAGCCAATGGCGAATGCTAGAAACATTCTCACCCATCAGCTTTGAGCTCAAAGGGGAAAATATTTAAGATTCCAAATACTTAAATGTAGAACAATAATTCTGAAAAAATTATAAAAGGAGTTTTGGCTGTTCGTCTAAACAGTGTCAAAGGGCAGGATGCAGTGTGTTATTCTATAGGTTAGTTTTACATAAACATAATTCATTTTCTCTCTCTCTCTCTCTCTCTCTCTCTCTCTCTCTCTCTCTCTCTCTCTCGTTATCCAGAGTGTGTTTGTAAGAGCAATCATGTCTCATTTAGAGAAAAGATCATAGCTTGTTCAAGAACACTGTTCACTGCCCCCAGGTTCTTCTTTTATCTGTGATGGTTTGTAACTGGCAGCAAACAGTAGACTTGCTTAGTAGAACTGGTGTTAAGAAATAAACACATATGCCCCTTACTCATTTATATGATAACGTGTAGTCTGTAGTTGTCTGTATTGAGCACTCACTTTTACCCTGCTGTTTGCATTGAGAACTAGGATGCTTGGTATACTTTGGATATCACATGCCATTTGGATAGGCCTCAAGGCAATGAAATTAAAAATGTTTTCAGATGCACTGGACTCCTTTGCCTTGTGGGCCCTGTGGTGACCCATCAGCAGATCCCACGGTTCTACTGCCAGAATTGATACAGGGTGCACCCCAAGGCCCCCCATGCCTTGGTTGCCCCCTACTTCTCCCTTGCCCTGTTTGTGCACAGGGACGAGAGTGATGCTTCTGAAACACAGATCTTTAAAACCCTCCTGTAGTTTTTCATTTCATTCACAATAAAATCCATGGTTCCTACCATGACTTAGGAGGCAGGTCCCACATCCCACCTTTGTCCCCAGGTCAGTGTGCTCCAGCCTGTGGCCATCTTGCTGCTGGGCATGCCTTGCTTAGGKTCGTATCGTTGGCCATTGCCTATATCTGGAATTATCACCACCAACATTCACACACTTCTTACTTCCTTCTGGTCTTTTACCCAAATGTGCCTTACAAGTGAGGCCYTTTGATACTTCTTTTTGTCTTTTATTTATTTATGTTTTTGTACTAGCGATTATGCCCAGGAATGCTCTACCACTGAGCTATATCCCTAGTCTTTTTTAGACAGGGTCTCTCTAAATTGCTTAGGGCTTTACTAAGTTGCTAAGGCTGCCTCTGAACTCCTCACYATCCTCCTACCTCAGCCTCCTGAGTTGCTGGATTACAGGTGTGCACCATTGCRACAAGCTTCTGACTTCCTAATATTATAAAATACCACCTTCTCTTTGGAGCACTTAGCATTTCTGGAAATAATATATKTATGTATTTGATCATCTATTTTCTGTAGCTGGTAATTAAGCTTCATGATGCAGAATTTCCATTTGTTGACTGCTGTATCTGAAGACACTGGAGCATGCTGGGCACATGCTGGTAGTTGATATCCAACATGTATTTGTTGAATGAGTGAGCAAGTGACTAGGAATAGATGACTCTTTATGCCATGTCGTGTCTGTCTTAGGTTTCTTTCTCAGTGAGAAATCTATGTAGAAATGTAGTTGCTAATACAGGTGCTCATAGAAACTCTCAAACCCAGAAATACTGTTGGGCCTTACMACATCCCAGTCTTTTAAGTTTTTACTGTGTGGGTGCAGATGAAAATTTAATCTTTTATTGTGAACATGGTGAAAACAGAGAAGTAGATGATATTATTCCTGTGAAAKCTTTCAAACGGTTTCATCTCACAGTTGCACGTCTTTTCCTTGCAGGCGCATGCCAAGCCTCCTGGAGTATGTAAGTTACAACTGTAACTTCATGGGCATCCTGGCGGGCCCACTCTGCTCTTACAAAGACTACATTACTTTCATTGAAGGCAGGTCGTACCACATGACACAGTCAGGTGAAAACGGAAAAGAAGAGGTGCAGTATGAGAGAACAGAGCCATCTCCAAACGTAAGACCACGACATGTATCTGGAGCCTTTATGAAAACACGTGTTCATTCATCTTATTTTAAAATGATGATGTTTTCACATTTTGAATTTCCCTATTTCTTTATAARTATTTTTCAAGATAAACGATTCTTCACATTGTACTTAGTAGTGATGGCTTGTAGAAGCACAGTCATGATTAAAGAACAGACTCTACGTGCTGAATCCCTTAGTGAGAATGACATGGTGTAAGGGTGTGGCGTTGTTTTACATGCGAGCCCTCCCTTCTGGACTGGACCTGGATCACCTTCCAGGCTGCTGCCTTGGCCTGTGCCTTGTGATTCGCATGTAGGAAGCACTGTTCTCCTTTTGTTTTCCTGCTTTACCCTCCTCATCCTAATTGTTGCCAGTCAAGATCTTGTTCTTTTTTAAATGGCTGCTTCACATATCATCTTTTCCATGAAGCTGTTTCTGGTCCCTGCAGTAAAGTGATGCTAGTWATTCTCACTTGGCCGGGCTCTGCAAAGCCCCTCCCTGGCAGCTGCTACGCAGCCTTCCCAGCAGTCCTGGGAGGTGTTCGCTCTCCTCACTGCCTTCGGGGAGAGTACTGACAGGAAGGCGCAGCCCTTAGACCAGGCTTTCCTGGGTGGCTGGAGGAGAAGTGGAATTCAGACCCAGACAGCCTGGCTCTGGAGTTTGTACTTAAATTGCCTCCCAAATGAATACAATTTTATGTCCTTTGAACTGCAGGGGTGTTTGGACTGCACAGTTAGAGCATTTTAAAGAATGCTCTAAGGCATCCAGGCTTCCTATAGGCTTTTCCCCTTGCATTCAATCAAGTATTCCCTGGGAAATCATAGGCTAATCAGAAAGTTTGTGTGATGGAGAAGAGGGGCTCCTGTGCTTCCTCTGCATGTGGCTTGGAGCAAAGGGTCACCACCTTTCCTCTCAGAGCCACCGACCTGCATGTGTGCAGGCAGAAAAGTGTGAGTGAAAAACTGTGGAACCTTTTGCAGAACTTCTTCTGTACCATGTGGCTCATTGTGTTTCGTGCCAGAAGGATGTTTTATTCTCCATATTTTTCATTATTGGTTAAGTACTAATTGAGAAATGCCAGATCAAACTAGGTTGGATTCAGACTTGAAATTGGAATCTCTGCCACTGAGTATTTCATGTGTCCATTCTGAGACTTAATCCTTCAGAGGCCTCACTTCTATAACAGAAAGTGAAGGTAATTATAGTTGGCCCTTGAGATCTGAGGATTCTRCAGGCACAGGTTGAACCAGAAATATTTTTTAATTGCATCTGTATTGAGCATGTCCAGATTTGTCTTTACTCCCTCATCAATACAGTATTACAGCTATTTATCAGCACCTTGTGGTAGCTGTTGTAAGTCATCCAGAGATGACCTGAAGCATATGGGAGGATGTGCATAGCCTCTATTCAAATATTACACCATTATATATAAGGTGCTTGTGCATCTGCAGGTTTTGGTATTTGGAAGGAGTCCTGGAACCCCTGTGGACACTGAGGGAGAACTGTACAGACAACTTGTATAAGTTTAGTGGAGTACTGAAAGGAGAATGGAAACCTGGGGGTCAYGATGCTGGACACTTAGTGATGGGTTCAGCTTTATCATGTGAGCACATCAGTTAATGTTGAGTCCATTTCTTCATGTCTTCCCCACTTTAGGGAGTATCTGAAGAGCAAGGAATTTTGTAAAATATTTGAAAAAATATCAAGAACTATAAACATGTGAGTGTAGTAGTAAATCAAACCCAACAATAATACAGGCTTATATCACCTCACTTTATTTGTGTGGAATTTACTCTTATAAGATCTTGCTTTCCTTTTGAGCTATAGACATTATCAGAAGTTGTTGACAGTGGCAAATATTATTTTAAAATTTCTCATCATTTTAATATATTTTGTGTAAATTCCATAGGCATATAGTTGACAAAGTCAAATAGCAGTAATTACTTATAAATCCCTCAAGTTGCGTTTGGAAGTTCTTTGTGCCTCCATGGGCTATGCATACTCTTAGAGTCCAAAGTAGGATAGTCAGGTAGCCAGTTGCTCTTTGGTTGGTTCCTCCCAGTTGTCTTTATCTACATTAGTTAATGTAGGACAAAGTAATAGTTGATTTTAAAAAATAGTTGATTTTAAACGAAGTTATCTCACGTGGCAGCTTGGGTGTCGCAGTCTGTGGATATCATGGTGCCCCCAAGGAGTTTCTCACATTCCCTTGATCAAAATTAATTGCATAGTTTCACTCGGCTCCAAGAGGCTGAGAGATGCATCTTGAGCTGGACTTGCCTGTGCCTAAGTGCCATTTCCTCTGCTCTGTGGAGGAGGGTAACTCCCAGGCAACATTGGCCAGTCCCTCCTGATGTCTGTGGGCCTTTGCTCTGGGGCTGTTTGGTTTCTAGAGTAAGAGATCTCCCAATCTTCTGTGCATCACAGACTTGACTGGTGGTCATGGAGGGGGGCAGGAGCAGGGGCAGAGGGTATCCCTTGGGGGGTGGACTTTTTCCGGGCTCTCCACGTTCATTCTAGCATCTTACCTAGCCTACTCCAGACCTGTCTCTAAGCCTGGGTATTTCCAGCCTYCTGCTAGAAAGATGGAGGGGTATCTGCCTCTCTAAGTTAAGGCATCTTCTCTGTGTAAATCAGGTGTATATGGGGGTGGTATACACACACCACATACTCCCACCTTACGAAGCAGGTGGCTAGATAAACCTGGCTAAAACTGCCTTTCCACAAGCTCTTCTCCCAGGTTTTCAAAGATACCTGATGCCTGCACTGATTGGTTCTCACTGCTATCTATGCCTCTTGGAAGTTGAGATCACATCTATGGTACTTTAATTTTCTTTCCTTCCTTCTTTTCCTCCCTTCCTCCCTCCCTCCCTCCCTCCCTCCCTCCCTTCCTTCCTTCCTTCCTTCCTCCCTCCCTTAGACATAGTGTAATGGCCACAGTATTTTATACCTCATTTTTAGGCTAATATATAGGGTCATTTATCTCATCTGACTTCATTTTCAATTTTTAGTTTTTCTCTATTTTTTAAAATGCCTTTATTCAAATGTATAGGTAAGCTATTTGGAGACTGTGTAAAGAAAGAGTAGCCTTGCTGAGTGTGATGGTACATACCTGGAATCCCAGCTTTTTGGGAGACTGAGGCAGGAGGATTTTTTGTTAAGAGGCCAGGAAAACTTATCAAGATCCTGTCTCAAAAAGATAAAAGAGTTGGGATGTAGATTAGTGGTAGAGTGCTTGCCTAATGTGGGAGCTTAGGTTTATTTCCCAGTACAAAAAGGTGCAGCAAGAAGTCCTTGATCAGTGAGATCCTGTCCCTAAATAAAATACAAAATAGGGTTGGGGATGTGAYTCAGTGGCCGAGTACCTCTGAGTTCAATCCCTGGTACCCCCCCCCCTCCGAAAAAAAGTCCTTGAGCCCTCAATACCACGAAGGAGCAACTAAGAATAAAATGAATAGTTTTTTTAAGAACTGCAAAGAATTTAACATATGCTTTTTTGGGAGGGGCAGTGGGGGTGTACCTGGGATAGAACTCGGGAGCACTAAACCACTGAGTCACATCCCCATTCCTATTTTGTATTTTATTTAGAGACAGGACCTCACTGAATTGCTTAGCACCTYGCTTTTGCTGGGGCTGGCTTTCAACTTGAAATCCTTCTGCCTCAGCCTCCCAAGCCACTGGGGTTATAGGTATGTGCTACTGTGCTCAACTAGCGTATATTTTAACTCTTGCCTTTGAGTTACTCTTTTGGCATTGTTACAAAAAATATTAAAACATAGATGTTCTTTTATAAATTACTTGATTTGAATTTTACTTGGCTATTTATAGTACAGAGCACTCTAAATCTAGGTATTCTGTTATACATTTCTTTATTTGGATATATCTTTTTCTTTTTTCCACTTGTGTCTTTTCCTTCATGACCTGAATCATCTCTTTTATACTGAATGAGTTTGAAATATTCTGGTCTTCTAAAAATACAGAAGTAGTATGAGTTTTAAATCCACAGAACACCAAGAGGTCTGGGGTATAGTTCATTGGTAGAACACTTGCCTAGCAAGTTCTGAGCCCTGGGTCTTCTCCCTAATACTGCAAAAAGAAAAAAAATTTTTTTTCACCATTAAAGAAATGTATTTATTGTCTCTTATATAAATAATGTTCATGAAATGCCTAGAACCTGGAAAGTATATGAAGCACAATAAAATATGCATATGTGTAAATACACATAAAAATATAAATATACATACACACATAGATGTTTATATATCTATATAAAAAAGACACAAGTGGAAAAAAGATAAGGAATATATATAATATATATATATATATATATATATATATATATATCCAGATAAAGGAATGTATAACAGAATACCTGGATTTAGAGTGCCCTGTACTTTAAATAGCCAAATAAAATTCAAGTTAAGTAATTTATAAAAGAACATGTTTATTTTAATACTTTTTATAACAATGCCATGCCAAAAAAAAAAAAAATGACTCAAAAGCAAGAGTCAAAGGACTTAACAGCATACCACAGGGACACAGCCACATCAATGTTTGTAGCAGTACAATTCACAATAGCTAAACTGTGGAACCAACCTAGATGCTCCTCAGTAGATGAATGGATTAAAAATGTGGCATATATACACAATGGAATATTACTCAGCAGTAAAAGAAAATAAAATCATGGCATTTGCAGGTAAATGGATAGCGTTGGAGAAAATAATGCTAAGTGAAGTTAGCCAATCCCCCCGCCCAAAAAAATAATGAATGTTTTCTCTGATATAAGGTGACTGACCCATAATTGGGTAGGGAGGGGGAACATGGGCAGAGGGGTGGGAGGGTAAGGGTGGGGTCAGGGGGTTAGCAATGATGATGGTGGACTGTGATAGACATCATTATCTAAAGTACATGTATGAAGACATGAACTGGTGTGAACACACTTTTAAATATACAAACAGATATGAAAAATTGTGCTCTATATGTGTAATAAGAATTGTAACGCATTCTACTGTCATTTAAAAAATAAAAAATAATCAATAATAAAAAAAAGATACAGTTCCYTCTGCCAAATGTCCCTGTGCTAAGTAGGAAAAGAAGCACAGCCCAAAACAAAAAGGACAAACAAGCAAGAGTCAAAGCGTGTGTGTCTGTCTGTTTGTTTGTCTATTTWTGATTGTGTACACATACACACACACATTTTAAAAACAGAGGAGAGGGCTGAGGTTGTGGCTCAGCAGTAGAGCACTCGCCTAGCATGTTCGAGGCCCTGGGTTTGAACCTCAGCACCACATAAAAACAAACAAAATAAAGGTATTGTGTACAACTAAAAAGTAAATATTAAAAAAAAAAAAAACAGAAGAGAATTGGGGAGATAAACCTGGAGGTGTCAACCTCCATGTCCCCCATCCCCCCATCTCCCGTCACAGATGCAGCTAGGTCTGTACCTTGGGCAACCTGCCTCCCAGGAAATTTGCAAGTGTTTCTTAGTGTGGAAATGAATTTAGTAATTTGTGATTCCAAATAACATACATTAATATCAATTTTAACTTTTACATAAAAATCTACCAAACGTTATAGTGTTAATATTTTTTGGTATCCATTTGCATTCACAWCTTTAGCCTTCTGCATGCTTTTAGATTTTTTTATTCCCTGAAAGTTCTGAAAACACAAACTGGGGTTCTGGTCTGAGTTGTGGTTTCGTTCCTGCTGCCTCCTATGGGACAATGGGTCACCTGAGACCCTGAGTGCTGTGCAACTCCTGCCTTGGGCTGGTGCTGGTGGAGGATGGCGAATCAGTGATAACATGTAAGAGCTCTTCAGGGGGTTTGGATGCAGGTGGTGACTCTGCCTCACACCTTGCAGGAAGCCGTGGTTCAGAAACTCCTGGTGTGTGGGCTCTCCTTGCTCGTTCACTTGACCATCTCCAACATGTTGCCTGTGGAGTACAACATTGACGAGCGCTTTCAAGCCACAGCTTCATGGCCAACCAAGATTACCTATCTGTACATGTCTCTACTGGCTGCCAGACCTAAATACTATTTTGCGTGGACCTTAGGTAAGTAACATGTAAATAGACTTCTCTGTTTCTGTGTTATAGTGTATCTTATAGCTAATCATGAGAGTGTCTTCATTGTTTTGTTTTTTTGTGATGGGCTTCTATGTGTTGCCCAAACTGGCTTTACATTCTTAAACTCAAGCTGCCCCTGCCTCAGCCTTCCCAGGAACTGGGCCTACAGGCACACCAACCATACCTGGCGCAAGAGTACCCTCTTGAGGATATATAATCAAAGACCAATTCGAAAAATGGGAGTAGTCTGGGTAGAAGACACAAGCCCCACCATTTACATACGGGGATATCCTAAAAACCAGATCAAGCCCATTCTATTATAAGGTAATAACTAGTAGATCATTGAAGTGACAGATATTTATTAAGTGCCGATTGAATGCTAGATTCTGTATTAGCTAGAATATATATATACTCTCTCCCCTCAAAATCTGAGTATATTARGCTTCCATTAAGATTAAGTAGATTGTTAAACATGATAAGGACTTTATCCGCAAAGTGAACAAAATTATATTGGTACACTGAAAAGAGGTTGTTGGTTATGCCCAACAGGTAAAGCAGGTATTAGGGAAAAGATAACCCTCAATTGTGGTTTTTACGATTGAATGTGACTTTAGCATGTGGAAAATGGCTAGTTTTTTAAAAATACTTTTTATTTGATGTACCTTTATTTATTTATTTACTTACTTATGTATGGTGCTGAGGATTGAACCCAGTACCTCACGCCTGCTAGGCAAGTGCTCTGCCACTGTGTCACAACCTCAGCCCTAAAAAATGGCTAGTTTTACATGCATGAGCCAAGAATTGTGGATTACCTAATCTTTGACAGGTGTAGCTGGGGCCACACAGGAAGGAGGAAAGTGGGATTGAGAAACAGTGCTTTCCCAAGATCCTGCCACCCTGCTGAAAGGAGCCTTAGCAGACCTCCGAGGCTGACAGCTGAGGCCAGCTCCTGTCCTGGTAAAGAGACAGAGATACATGTCCCAGGACAAATCAAAACCTCTTGGATATGTGTCATCTTGTGCTTGGACCCACTGGTTACGGACCCTCTGTTCTCAACACTGTGTCCATCTGCCTTGTGTTTGGTACTTGGTGGCTGAATGAACACTTGAAGAAGCATGTCAGTCACCTGATGCTGGGAGCAGGCTGAGCACTGGCATTTACTACATGCTTTGTTTAGTGGTGAACAAACACTTCTGAAGATGTTTTTTTACACCTGTGATACCACTTAAATTCTATCTATAAACTGGGTATAGTAGTGGAGCAGTCCTGTAATCCCAGCAGCTCAAGAGATTGAGGCAGGAAGACCACAAGTTCAGGCCAACATCAGCAATTTAGTGAGACCCTGTTTCAGAATAAAGAGGACTGGGATTGTAGCCCAGTGGTAGAGCACCCCTGAGTTCGATCCCCAGTACCACCAAAATAAATAAATAAATATTCTGTCTTTAAATTGAGACTGAATTTTCTCCAYACCCACCCAGCATTTGTAGGATTTCATTAAGAAATGCATAAGAATGCCAGACATGATGGCACAGGCCTGTAATCCCAGCACTGTGGGAGGCCAAGACAGGAGGGTCGAAAGTTCAAGGCCCATGTGGGCAATCTGGTAAGACCATCTCCAGATACAGAAACAAAAAGGGCTGGGAATGTAGCACCACTGAAAGTGTTTGCCCAGCACACGGGCCCTTGGGTTCCATTCCCAGTATCACACATGAAAGAGAAAAAGAGATTCATTACTAATTATTTCTTTGCTGATTGTGACAATTAGAAGAAACCTTGAAATGAAAAATTAGAAGATTCTATACCCCCACCCCAATATTTGGTTTGATAAGCCAGGAAAAGATTATYTTCTTTTTTCCCAGTTCCTCTTTGAGGAAATAATTTGATCAGAACAATTTGAWGTGGAGCTACATTCAAAGAATTTTTGCCGTGAGCTTATAAGGCTATTTATTCATTCAACAAATGCTTTAACTTTGTAGTGTGCTATACTATTATAGGTACTAGTGATGGTTAACATCTGCAATCTAATTTGCAGTTTGGGATCAGGCAAGGAGCAGAGTGAGGCTTATTTCAGCATCTGAGTGGGCCCATCCCCTCTCCTCCCAAGCCTTTTTTTTTTTTTTTTAATTGTCCATTTGGTTCTTAAATTGGAGTTCTGTGATACCTGGAGGTCCAAGGTATTTGCAGGAATCCAAGATTTCCAGTRTCATCCTTTAATATAGTTTTTGCATTTTGATCATAATTTTTAAAAGAAGAATGGATCATGTGGGTAATTACTTTGGTGGGTTCTTGTAAATAAATGTTTTTAAATTTAGTTTCTTTGATACTAAATGGCTACCTCAACAGTAATGTTTAATTTTTCATTTCAAGGTTTCTCAAAATGGAATCAGGCTTCTAGATTTCCCACCTGCCCTCTTCTCACCCCTTCAAATAGATCATATCTTGGAATTTGAACAGTTTTTTGCTTTTAACTCAATAAGGCATAGCCCTGACTTGGTCTGTATAGGGACAGGTCAAAGTTGAGTTGATGCCAGTGGTTGGCTCTTTGGAGTCATGGGTCGCTCACCTCACCTCACCCTGAGGAACCTCGGGCCACCTGAGGTGCAGGCCAGGCTCTTGTTGGGGGCTGGGTAAAGGGAGGCCTCACTTGCCGTTTGGTCTCTGAGCCAGTCCCCTTGGGAGAGGAGCCGTTGGTGAGGAGTTACTTACAGATGGCAGCAGGCCAGAAAAGATGGCAAAAGTGAGCAAGTTAAGAAACCAGAGGTGGCAGCCTCCATGGAGCAGGGCCTCAGCGCAGACGTGCTGCCGTGCTGGTTGTGAGTGTTGCCCTATCAGTAGGCTTACCTGAAAGGCTCCTGTTTATTGGACCAAAGGCAGCWAAGCTCTTTAACCCTGACAAAGGGATCAGTCTAGCTCATGTGTTCTTTTTTCCTCCAAAGTGTAAATTTTGAAAATCCTGTTTGATATACTAAAACACTAATATGGAATGAAAACAACTTAAGGATGGGGTGCATATCTATWGTCTTCTGTTGGTTTTTGGTGGATTTCAGCTTACTTTTGGTTGTAGCAGAAACAGCATAAGTTATAAAGTTTTCCAATTGATTGGGAAAGGGCTTATTTGAGGGAGAATTCAAGCAGATATATAAATCAAAGATAACTAATTGAGCATTGTGGTGAAAAGGATTAAAAAACAGATTTTGGAGATGTGTTATATTTCATTGATTATTTAAATTGCCTTTATTGGGGTAGTTATTTTCAATGTGTGTGATAATGTTTCTAACCTTCCTTAAAATTAGAATACATCTATTTATACTGTTTAATAATAAGAGATACATAAAGCACAACACACATCTGGGAGGATATAGATTGCTACAAAAGTTCTTAATACTTTTTTTTTTTACTTTGCTACAGCTGATGCTATTAACAATGCTGCAGGCTTTGGTTTCAGAGGATATGACAGAAATGGAGCAGCTCATTGGGACTTGATTTCCAATTTGAGAATTCAGCAAATAGAGGTGAGTAAATCATGAAGAAGTTATCATTCTGTCACTCTACCCGTATTTATTGATGACCAGCCCTGTGCCAAGGAACCAAGGAATAAGATGGGTACCAGAGGGCCCTCCAGCAGTGTCATCAGGTTTCTGATCAGAGAGGGCTAGGCATATAGTGTTCTTCAGACTGGGGCTTAGCTTAGTGCGGGTGTCTGAGGGACAGATGTCTTAAGCAGGAGACTGCCAGGTACTCTAGGTAAGAGGAGCAGCCTGAGAGGATGAGAGGTTTAGGCARTTGTGAGGGCTCCTTGTGCTCAAGGTGTGCAAGGCCAGGCATGCCCAGCACGGTCTTAGAGGCCATATGAGGGGTTTGAACTTTCTTGCAGGAGCAGTGGTGGAACACTGYGGGTATGTTACAGGGGCAGGTGAGTGAGCTGAAACCAGAGACATGTTCTAGAAGGATCCAGCATGTAGAACTTGTTGTCCTTACAGGCAGAGATCTGCTGGGAGGTATAGTATTAATCCTAGATGCTGGTGCCTTAAACTAGGAAACTCCCAGAGGGAATAGAAAGAAAGGAGTTCTCGGAGCGCTGTGTGTGAGACTCAACAGAACTTGGTAATGAATTGGAACCAGTAGAGAAACAAGGTACAGGTCAAGCATAGCTGCTTTAAGCAACCAGGGTTATGGTGATGCCTCTCACTGAGATAGGAAACAAAGATGCACAGGTTTGGAGAGAGAGAGMTAGTGTGTGTAAATCTCAGACTCACTAAGTTGTCCAGCAGGCAGACAAATGGTCAATCAGCAGAGACACCTGAGCCCAGAATTGTAATTTGGGAACTCGAACTCATAGCCCTGGGGGAAGCTAAGAGCAAGGCCAGCAGAGACCACTGAGAGAAGAGAATGTGCATCTGAAAGAGTACATGAGGCCAGACAAGGAGGCCATCAGGAAAAGAAGCAGGGAGAGGAGGGAAAGCCAGGCAGATGCTTCACCAGCCTGTGAAAAGCTTTATTCCAAACAGGAGAAATTGCAAGACTGTAGGTAAAAGGTCAACAGGGAACTTTATGAAAATGGCCCAGGCTCGAGGCACTGCAGTGAGGAGCTACAGGAAGCAGAGTGCTGGCCCTGGGGAAGTTTCCCACAGTAACTAAACCTGAGTGGGGCCTCTGGGTCTTTCTCAGTTTAGAGGGAATGTGGAATAGAGAGGAGTCAGTCAACTGTCAGATCCAGAAATTTCACAGGACATAGACATAAGACCTGTGGGGTTTTTCTATGCCGCTAATGTGTTTTTTAAAACACATTAGTGGCATAGAAAAAGTAGAGGGTGGGAAGGGACTATTACAGATTAAAGGAGACTGTGGCCAACCGTACCACACAAATCAAAAAGGTATTAAATGATGCTAAATCTTTTGGGCAGGGCGTAGTGGGTGGTATATATCTGAAGTCTCACCTTCTTGGGGTGCTGAGGCAGGAAGATTGCTTGAACCCAGAAGTTTGAGACTGTCCTAAAAAAAGAAAAATAATTATTAATTTTGTTAGATCTAATAATGGTTTCTAAAACGTCCTTGTTGGGCATCAATTTTGCATTATTTCCACGTGAAATGCGATTGTAGTAATTGTTTTGAAATCTTCCTAATAATGTGAGGAATAAAACATGGAGAAGAGGAAGGGAAGATGGGTTCATGCGGAGCCAGGGACGCACGTGTGGTGGTGGTCCGGGCTTCAGTTTGTTGTCACCACCTGCAGAGCCTTCCCAGCACTTTGTTCCCTGGTYGTCCCCCTGCAGTGTTAGTGCTGTGGACATACTGTGTGTCTCTTGGTCCACTGTGTGTATGCACGTGGTTTATACAGGAAAGGACGGGATTTATGTACCCCACTAGGACAGTTTTCATCCTCTTGGGGGCGCTGTGTGGGATAACATCAAGAAAAGCATTCCTTTTTCCAAGGAGACTATGGACAGCTCTGCTAAGTGTCCTTGAGGTGTCAACTAAGATAAGGACAGATAAGTGTCCCATAGGTTGCTTTAGTGAGAACTGTGAGCCTGGAGGTCTAGAATGCCCCTGCTGTTCCAGGCTTGGCTTGCAGATATGCCTGTGGGGAAGGAGGCAGCTTGCTGGGGTTATGATGGGCAGGCAGGTTGAAAGGAAAAGAGACAAAGGCCTCAGGGATTTTGATAAGACAACAGAAAATAATGGACCATGGAGTCTAAAATGGTAGAAGAGGGCTGGTGATATAGCTCAGAGGTAGAGTGTTTTGCATGCACAAGACCCTTGGTTCAATCCCCAACACCACCCCAAATAAATGTTAATTAAAATAAAATAAAACACAGTCTTCCTCTCCCACTTCACCCAGACAGTGGCAGGGATTGGGAGAAAGGAAGATGATGAAGTAGATATTCCAGTCCTTGGTGTTGGACAAAGGTGTTCGTGTACTCAGCAGGACTTTCTTTGTAGTAATTTCATGACAAGCTTTGTAAATATTGACACACAGGAGAAAGAGAGTGCATTTATTCATTCCCCAAAATTAACTCCTTTTAAGAATGATGTATTACTATCTGCGAAAAATAGCATCAAGGAATGAGGAATCTTTTGCTATCATCATTATGCGGAAGTTTTAGTTTTAATTCTTCAGCATAATATTTATAGCTTCATTGTTTTGTTGGCCAAAGAAAAGTTTCCTTTGTTTTTCAGATGTCAACAAGTTTCAAGATGTTTCTTGATAATTGGAATATCCAGACAGCTCTTTGGCTCAAAAGGTATGTTTCTTCAAGAACGTTTTTAGATGTATTTTGGCATCTAGTACTTGAAGTTGAACTTCATCGAATTCATGTTCTTTTTTTTTTTTAATTAATTTTTTAGTATTCAGCAGACACAACATCTTTGTTTGTATGTGGTGCTGAGGATCGAACCCGGGCCGCACRCATGCCAGGCCAGCGTGCTACCGCTTGAGCCACATCCCCAGCCSAGAATTCATGTTCTTAATTAAATTCATGGTGTGTTAAGTGACATTGTGGCTTTGGCATTAACCTAGGAAAGACTGTTAGCACCCACCTGATCAGGACAGTTGGGCCTGAGTCACGGTTCTCTATCACCACCTCCTCAGCCAGTTTTCTGCTCCTCTGCCCGAGTSCTCAGTGCCTCTGCTGCCATCCCCAGAGATGTGGAGTGGTTTTTTTGGTTTTGGTTTTGGTTTGGGATTTTTGATGCTGGGRATTGAACCCATGGCCTGGGCCTGCGAGGCAAGCATTCTACCAACTGAGCTATATCCCAAGCCCAAGATGTGATTTTACAGAAACTCTGTACATATCCACTCTACATGTGCTGCAGGTTTTCTGGAACAGTTCCAGTTTGAATATTCCAGTCTGACAGATCTAGGCACAGGCCCAAAGATAGGCCAGTCCCCCCAGAGGTCTCAGTGCACAGCAGTGGACCAGGCACCTGCTGATCCCTGTGGGGGTTATTGTGAGAGAGCAGGAGCAGCATGGCACGCAGGGAAACAAGGGGACATTTCTCAGAAGCCTGAGCCAGGATGTCAGTTAGGATGTGTGGCCCGGAAGGGGAGGGCACCAGCCCTGAGCAGAGCAGGGCCTGTCCAGTCTAGGATGACACCAGAACACCCAGGTTCTCTCTCCAGTGTCCACAGGCACCTGCTCAGTCTTGAATTTATTCTTAAAGTATTGTTCCTGTTCAGAGAGGGCTCAAAGTCGCCTGCCTTTGTAGTGTTTCTTTAAGACAATTGAATATCTTACCCCTTGAGATACCTCGTTTTTACCATGCCTTCCCGATCCCAGCCAGGCCCCCAGCAGTGTCGGATTCTCTGAACTCATCTGTTGTGTGATGTTATTGTTGTTATTTATATATTTATACTTATGTATTTAATTCTAAATTTGATACCTTAGTAAAAGCTCATTTCCATCTGAATTATATACCCTGTTAAAGGAGAATTTCAGACTAAGCATAGCCTATTTAATTTACTAGAAAGAATCATGTTCAATTGAAAGTTTTGAGTGTTTTTAACGAAAGCAATAAAATCGCTCATGGCTGGGATCCTACTCCTTGACCCCAAGCTCAAGGCCAACCTGAGCAGCTCAGTGAGACCCTGTCTCAAAGTAAAAAAGCAAAAACAAACGAAAAAGGGCTGGGACATAGCTCAGAGGTAGATCACATGGCGGAAAGAAGCCTTGGGTTCAGTCCCCAGTGCCATCAAAAAAGGGGAGGAGGGGAGACAAAGAAAAAAAATATGTAGAATAAAACCTCTAACTTTAATATTAATTATAAATTTCTGGTAAATTTTAGAGACTCCCAAATAGTAGAAATGATAATTTAGTGGTTGTGGGAAAATAGGAATTGAATTTGTTTCTAAATTTGATACTTAATAACCGTAACATCCCTGAGATTCCAGACCAAGTTATTACCCAGGATAGATAGTATTTGTTCCTCTGGCTACTAAAATCCTGCCAGGTAATGGGAGAATGATCAGTGTAGGGTTGGTAAGCTCGGATCCACTCACTCCTCTTGGTTCTCTGTGTTTTTTGTGGTTTTTAGGGTGTGTTATGAACGGGCCTCCGTCAGTCCAACCATCCAGACTTTCTTTCTCTCTGCCATTTGGCATGGGGTATACCCAGGATACTATCTGACCTTTTTAACAGGGGTATTGATGACATTAGCAGCACGAGCTGTAAGTATCAAGAATTTTAATTATAATTCAGTGACCCTACTTCTTTAGCCTTGACTAGCACAGTCCTCTGCAGTGGAGCCCACATACGTAGCGAGTCTCCCTGCACACGGCCTTCCCTGCTTTACCTGAGAAGCACACAGGAGGCACTCACATATTATACTTATTTTTACAGAATTTTCTGAGGGAAAGAGAAAAATAGTTAAATAAAGATGATCAGAATGATAGGTTTGTTTCAGAAGTGCTTTCTGAAAGCCGAGACCTTTGAGTCACTTGAGGTGGAGAGCTGATTGTGGGTCAGCCTGAGGAGCGTGCTGGGCATGCCCAGCAGAGGGTCCACTTAGGAGCTTGGAGTCTCCTCTACAGCAGTTTGCCTTGTTGGATCCTAGAGCAGTGTTACGGAGACAGATCAGGTGACGTGTAGAGGAAAGGAGAAAGGTGAATTAGTGTTACGTCCTTGAGAGTCAGAGGAAAGCCATGTGACAAAACTGACCTTTGAACTAGCTGTGGTAGCACTCAGAGGTAAGGTGGCTTCATTTAACAAACAGCAAGTGTTGACTGTTAAGTTTTAAGGTAGCATGATGGTGTACGAGGGAAGTCAGGAAGCTAAAGGCTGTGCCTTTGATAGTTTGGTGAAATCGGGTATCGAGTGTGGGTACGCTGTGAGTGGTTATATGCACATACCAATGCTTGTTTCCCGAGGCATGTATGATAGGCTCCATGTTTTTTTTTTAAGATGGTAAGTATCAGAGATGAAAGAAATATTTCTTCATTGAGATCCAAAGCATTTAGTCTGGGCTTTGAAAGATGAAAGGTAGAGCTGGGCATGGTGGCGGATACCTGTCATCCCAGCAACTCAGGAGGCTGAGGCAGGGAGATCACACGTCAGGGCCAAAAAAAAGGAAATTATTATTTCAATACTGAGTGAGATGTGGGGGAGATATGGGGGAGAAAATGTTATTCTAGGCATGGAATGACATTAACAAAACTGTGGTTAAAATGTCATGCTATATTTGGAGAACAATAACTAAATCTAATTGAAGAGGAGAATTGTATTCATAAACAGTGGATAATTCTGGATAGGTACAGAGGGGAGAGGAGGAGAGCAATAATGGGAGAACTTGAATATTAAACTGGGGAAGAGCCTAAGCCTGTTCCGTTTGCAATATTAGGTAGTTAAGGTAAGGTTTGCTTTTCATTGTCTTTCGGTTTTTTATTTTTAATTTTGCAGTGCTGGGTATTATACTTAATGCCTTGCAAATGCTTGGCAAGCACTCTGCCAGGGAGCCAGCTCCCCAGCTGGGTAAGGTTTGTAAGAATACTGATCACCATACGTGAAGAAATGGGTTTGTCATTAATGGGCAGAGTGGACTAGATAATAGGTATCCCGCTGGTGAGCTAGGCRAGAAGTCACAGGCATGATTTGGTTTTGGCCACTAAGAATGATGGTCTTTTCGTGGAAGAACCATTTCTCATGTGCCAGCTCCACTCTAAAGGAGTAAGACGGCATCTGGAGAACAGGGCTGTGCGTCCCATAAACATACTAGACGAGAAGAGTGAGAAACGCAGGAGAAGAGACAGCACCATGATTGGGTTGAAAAGGTTGAGATGTTTTCACTACCTTGAAAACTTTAAAAAGTCATCAAAATAGTGAAGATTAGAAAACAACAGTTTTTTGAGAGGCTCTTCCGGCTTCCATTTGTGAGTGATGTGTGTGGTTGCTGTTTGTTTCTGGTGAGTGCTGTTTAACCTGAGCTCAGTGCACGGGATCTATTTGTTCACATGTGTAGAGGTTAAAGAGAGAGGTGACGAATGTACCTTTCATAGTGGCAGGAAAAACTGAAGATAGGTTGAACTCTTGTTTATATTCTGTCCTCTCCCAAGTACCAGTTAAGGAGCTTTGCGTAGTATTGTTTTTAACTCTTTGGGGAAATTTTTCATTTTAATGCAACCTCAGATCAACTAAGAAGTTGCACAGAGCTCCTGTAGGCCCTAGGCCCAGATCCATGAGTTCATGTCTTGCCTGGATGCCTTCTTTTCCACCTCCATGGCCCAAGTGTGTTCAATTTTTCAGAACCAGCTTTTCTCACAGTGGTAGTATCATTTTAGACTCATGGCAGCTGCCTGCAAGTTCAACATTCTTGATATAGTCATTGCCAGTATAATTGTGTAAGTAATGTTAATTTAAAGAYATAGTAAGTGTTTTTGTTTATTTTTTATTTCAGATGAGAAACAACTTTAGACATTATTTCCTCAAAACTCCCCAACTTAAATTATTTTATGACATCATAACATGGGCAGTAACTCAAATAGCAATAAGTTATACAGTTGTGCCATTTGTGCTTCTTTCTATAAAACCATCATTCACGTTTTACAGGTAAGTGTTACTCGTAAGATTTGTCAGGAAAGAAAGTACCTTGCTATTGCATGGGATATGAAAATAGTACTGTACCTCATTTTCTGCTGGTAGAAGCATGACAGTTACTTCTTGATCCTGAACCAAGCAATCTCAAATCTTCATGGGAATGGCTCACATTCGTGAAGGTGAGGGAAGTGCCAGCTGGTAACTGCTGCCTTAGCTTTCAGGGATGTTGAACTGGAAACCTCCTGGCCTGATTGTCCAGAACCTGGTTGGGGAAAAAGTTGGGTCTTTACAAAGAATGATTAATTATCTTGGTTTCTTTAATCAAAGGAAAATAAGTTACTTAGATTTTTACTTATTTGTTTCTCTTCACTCTTTTTTTTCATTAGTACTATGGTTATCACTTTATTATTAGAAATTGTTAACTTGAATTCCATATTTTTTGTTTATTTGTTTATCTCCTCCCCTTGCCCCATCTAATTCCACTCCCCCATAATAGTGATAGCTTAGAGATCAAAACTTGATCCTTTCATAAATTCTTTAGACTTTAGAGTGACTTAGAACAAAATGTTCGGCTGGAAAATTGTCAAATACAATATTACAAAAATCATAYATACAGAAAGACATTTCTACTTTAACAGAATCATTTCTTACTTTAAAATGCAGTGAATTGGGCTATTCGATGCATCTCAGATACTTCTCTCAATCACTTGAACTTCCAACTATTATAGAGCAGTTGAGGTCACATTTGGTTTATATTTGATTTGGGGAATAATGTTTCTGAGTATCTTAAATAACATGGCCTTTCTTTACGTGTGGAAGTCACCACCAGGCACACTGTTGCTTATCTGTTGCTTTCCTCCTCAGAATCCCTGTGACTCAGGGAGAGACAGTGGGCAGCAGGGGGCATGGCCAAGCCAGGCTCTGCTGTCCTTATTGTCTCTTTGGTGACTCAGAATTAGAGTCTCTGGATTGAMGAGATTATTTTCAGATCACTACCACTGTTAATAAGTACCTTTCTTCTTGTCCTGTTCCAAGCTGTGTAATCTACTCTCATGCTCATGGGAGCAGAGCTCTGTAGAGACCCTGGGCCGCAGTGTGGAGGTCCACCTTGAAGGGGAGGGAGCAGTGAAGGATTACTAGTGTCCAAATTTAATACAACTAACTTTTCCTTTTTCTTTTAGCTCCTGGTATTACTGCCTTCACGTCTGTAGTATCTTAGTATTATGGTTGTTGCCAGTGAAAAAGACTCAAAAAGGAAAGAATATACATGAAAACCATCAGCTCTCACAGTCCAGAAAGGTTGACGAAAGAGAAAATTCTTTGGGAGAGGACAGTTTCTCCACAACAAACAGCATTTGCAATCAGAACCAAGAAAAAGCCTCTAGACCACCTTCCTCAAGGCAGTGATGGGGAGGCCTTCCTGCTGACTGCCTTTCTTGTGTTCACAGAAACCAGTCTTAGCACCTTCGCAAGGGGTTTGTGTTTGTTTGAAAAGAGATTAACGGGGGAAATGGGACAGCTATAGGTAGGGAATTTCCTATAAACCAGAGTGGAAACGGAAAGAAGCAGCCCTCCCATGCCATGTCCCTGTGGGCCACGCCTTATATAAAAATATTTTCATATTTCATGGGGCATTCCAACCTCAGCATATGTCCACAAGGTCATATGTGTGCCCTGTTGCCGAATGTATGTTGTGTACCCCAAGGCACTGCAGAGGTGGAAAACTTATCGTGTCCGTCTGAATGATTGAGGGGGTTAACTTTTCCAAATGAATGTCTTGCCTTAAACCCTCTATTTCCTAAAATATTGTTCCTAAATGGTATTTTCAAGTGTAATAGTATGAGAAGATTATTTCAATATTTGATGTTGTATAATGTAAAGGAATTTAGAAGGAATTTGAAACAGGATATTTAAGATGGTAGATACTTTAAAAATGCAATAAACATCTCAGTATTTGAAGGGTTTTCTTAAAGTATCTCAAATGACTACAGTGCATAGTGAAACTGTAAGCAGTAATGGATGCCAAATTATAGGTAGCTTATTTTGCTGGAGAGCTTAATTACCTTGTGTTAGTCAGAGAGTCCTTCCAGGAGGAACTCCTTAAACATAATTAAAGGTTGGTAATGTGATATTTTAAGCTTATTTTCTTAAAAAAGAGAAAATGAGGCAGGAAAGTAGGAATGAAGAAAGCTCTGTGAGACTTGGAGCTAGAAACAGTTCCCCCTTTCTGCATGGGGTTCTGTGTGACTGTCTAAGACATAAAAGTTTAAAAACTGGGTAATACTTTGGACTTTCAAGTGAAATTTATCAAGCATAAATTATATAGAATTAGAAGAGATAATGAGAGTAACAGTGATAGACTGCTTTTTTTGAAAGAAGTCTCTAGTAATTAGGGTTCTGTCTAGCTAATCAATTTCCTATCCTTGTCACTTTAATTCCTATGTGGAAAAGTTTTAGGGAATCAAAAACTTAAAAGACATGGAGACTGAATGACATTTTTGAGACTAATAGAAATTAGTTTCCAGATGCTTTTAAATTTCTCACATTAAAATTTTGTTGTTAACTCCTGCTAAGATGAGTTTTAGATTCTGTAAGAAGAAAACTGTGATTTCTTCTTATGGGCCATTTCTACCATGAATAATCTTGCCTTGAATTCCTGGACATCTCCTTTAGTCTGCAGAGTATTGTGCTGGCTGCAGTAGCAAGAGCAGGAGCTGGGACTGGAGGCCAGGTGGTACAGCTGGGCCCAGCCACAGATGGTCGGTCACCCTGTGGCAGGGAAGGCAGACGAGGCCTTCCGACCTCACCGTTGCTTGACCAATCTTTGGTGGAACTTTTCTTTTTGCCTTAAATTTTTATGAAATGAAATTATATGTCTATGATGAGTCTCTTTTTCTGATCACTAATAAACTTATAAATGAAGTAAAGACAAAACAAAAATCTGACATAAGCTCTGTAGTATTTCATGTAAAGAAATGAAAAGTCAATGCACTTGGAACTTCTGTGGTCTCAAAAAGTCAGTGTATTGTCTTAGAACTTTTAGAAACACACTTGCTTTTCTAAAGGCTTATGTTTTTCTCTTTGATGMGGTAAACCCCACTTCTTCCTCCCAGGCCAGGGTAGATAGCTAAGTAACTTTTGTCTGTTTTCCCGTGCATTGAAATTAAGCTAGCTGCATAATGTGAGGTTAAAAAGGAATGTTCATGGAAAGTGTCTCCTCTTAAAACATCTTCTCAGTTTAATCAATGCTGCAGAGAATCTGCTCACTGTTAAGAGAAAGTAAACAAATGTAGAGTAACCAGAAAGCTCTGCAAAAACTTTTTTGTGTTTTTTGTTTTCTTGGTTCTCTCTATCCAGCTACTTACAGAGAGTCACCATTTATTTCTGTTGCCCGAGTATATTTCATCTCTCAGCTTTAGCCCACATCATGGCCCCTGCTTTTTGCTGACTGAACATCTAACTGCAGCTCTGTCTGCAAAGAGCAAAGTGTTGGGCTGGCTTCTGGATTCTCACCAGGATGGCRCTGAGCTGTCCTGGTGAGCTAATTTTTACCCCCCCTGAATCTACTAGTGCTTTTTATGAAATGTTTTTTGAATACCTCTCATCTGATTTGGAGAAATAATCACAAATATGCAATCTAAAAGAAAAACTAGGATTCTAATTCTCACCTTGATTTTTCTCCAAGAAAAAAAAAAAGTTTTACAAAATGAATATTCTCTTTGGAGTGATGTGAAGATTAATTTTTTGCTTCTACCTATGGTAGAAGAATTAAAATCTAGCATATCTCTACTGCTGTCAAGTATAAAGGGATTCATTGTGATGTGTGCTTGCTTTTTTTTTTTCCTTCAGCAGCAGAATAGGATTCAGTGTGTATTTATATTATTTTCCCACTCTTCAGATATCATGAAACCACACCAGAGATGATCAGTCAACATCATATTTATACCTCTGGTTAATTACATACTACTCAGGGAAAAAAAACTGAACAAAAATAATTATTCTTCCCTCAATTTCATTTTCTTGAAACAATAATAGTTACTTTGACGTGTCTCAACTGTCATCATTTTATAAGTGGCTCATTCTGTTTTTAAAATTAGCATTTTTGCTGGAACTCAGGGTAATAGGGGATGTTTATTTAGCTTCTGAAATATCCAGAGTAATAGACAAGATTTATTTGGCTTCAAAAATGTCCAGCCTCCACCTTCCACTTGTTTAACATGTTGCCATTGGTCCCCACCATGTTGACACTCACACAGGGACTTACATACACACCACTTTTGAGAAATCTTTGCAGTGAAAGGTGGTTTCTGGAGGTAAGGGGAGCTCCTCCTGTGAGCACTGCCTGACCTGGAGGAGGAACTGGACTCTCTGGCTCTGCCTGTTGAGTGCCTGTTCTCTGGCGCTCATTCTCCCTTCCCTTGCAAGGGAGAGGAACGAGGACCCAGAAGGGGAGCCAAGTGCAAGGGCAAGGGCAGATCACAAGGAGAACTATTGTGGTTGCTGATTTTCATTACTGACACTCAAAGCCATGACTTTTTTAAAGGTTGTCATAGCAACAGAGTATTTGTGAGTGTGTATGTGTGTGTGGTACTGGGAATTGAACCCAGGGATGCTCTACCACACCCCCCAACTGTTTTATTTTTGTTTTTAGGCAGGGACTCACTAGTTTACTGAGGCTGGCCTTGAACTTCTGATTCTTCTGTCTCAGCCTCTTGAATCAGTGGGATCATAAGTGTGCAACACTGCACCTGGCCAGAAGAAAACCTTTTTAGTTGTTGTTTGATTGTTTTAGTTGTGGTTTGGATCTTTTAAATTTTATGTTGTTTTGCCTTTGGTACTGGGGGTTGGACCCAGGAGCGCTTTACCACTGAACTACATCCCTAGCCCTCCTTTTGATCCTCCTGCCTCAGCCTCCTCAGTCACTGGGATTATAGGAGTGTGCCACCTTGCCCGGCTCAGAGGGCAAACAATCCATTAGATCAGAAGGTGTGGCAATATACTATTTCTRCTGAACATAGCCCTTAAAAATGACTTTCATAGTGAAATGGTCTCTATTGAAGAAAACATTTATTTTTTATTTTTGGTACTGGGGATTGAACCCAGTCCTTTGCTGAGACTGGCCTTGAATTTGTGATCCCCCTTTACCGCTTTATTTTAAACTACAGAAAATAATTAAAATTTTTGCCATTAAAATGATTATATAAGTCATTCTTTATTTGTTGACTTTAGGACAAACATTTCCTGTTTAAAATTCATACCTTTTAAATATTTAATTTGCATATTCTTGAACAAATTGGACATTTATACTTTTTGTTTCCTAATTCATAATTCTTGGATAATTGGTTTTATGAGTTCTACGTAAGATTGAAAAAAATTACTTGAGAGAATGATTATCTCAAAATGGTACCTGTATTGCTGTCAGCTAAGGATTTGTCCAAACTTCTAGATATGGGTCAGTATTTTGAGGGTTACTCAGACGTTAATAGTCCATTCTGCTGAAATTTAATGCATCAAATTTAACATAGGTGCAGGATTCTGAATAACACTGTGAATGCAATCTTAACTACCCTCGAGGCCCTTACACACCTGTTGCACTTGACCCAGAGGCACCCAATGAGTGGTTGATCATCATGTTCTTTCTTTGGATGCTAAATTTCTGCTAATAAAAGTGGGTTTGTACCACTGTGGTTGAAGGAACAGATTGCATTTAAAAAAAAATAATAAATCCACACTGAAATTTGAGTTTGAAGGATTAGAATGTAAAGGGTCTCTGCAGTGTTTTTCTGCAACACCATGTAGTCARTTCTATTTATAGTAATTCTCCTTACAGAAGAAAATTTAAAATGAAATTTTCCACATTGATATTTTGTAGGAATGCACTTCTAATCAGTGATTAAGCTGCTTTTTGAGGCTCTTGTTGTACAGAGGATGCAGCCACTTGCATTTTAATTGATAGGCTGCTTAATAATATTTTATATGTTTTAAAATAATATTTATTTTAATAGGTTTTTAACATAAAGTTAAACCCCAGTAAAGAACTGACAAGCTTCAGGTCATTGATTGGGAAAATTTTGTGAACCAAAAGTRAAGACACATTTTTATGCCAACTAAATTGTCTTGCCTTTAAAACTGATTATATAACTCTTCTTTTAGTATGACTTTTATAAAGCAAAAAGAAAAACAAACCCAAGACTCTGTGTTCTATAAAGATCCATGTAAAACTGCTGTCTGACACTTACCAGTGGTACACAGCCATCTCTCCAGCCATGTTTTATCAAATTTTGCAACTATAAAAAGAAACAAAAATATAATGAAAAGTGGAAAGTTACAGAGCAACATAAGCAAAATGACTAACCAATTTCTTAATAGCATGTTTGAAGTGGAAAAAGTGGCTGCTGTTTACTGTTTCCAGCTATAGTTTGGATTTTCTTTGAGAAATTGATTTGTTAATATTCCTTTCCGTCCCTTCCCAGGAAAGGACAGACTTAAGTACTGAGGCATTTTAAATATGCTTCTTTCCCAATTTAAGTATTTTTAGTTGGATTTGTCAATGAAGTACATKTGCTACTGACTTTTTATCGCAAGGAAAAAAAATGTTGAACACTATGTTCCAAACCATTCTTGTCCGTCTTCTGTCACCTTTAGGGGATTGCCTCTCAAACCAGAAGGGGCATAATATAAGGCAGAGGGAAGGAGGTAAAAATACTTGAGGTAAAGCAAGGGGTTGTGTCCCACGCAGGGAGGTGTGTGATTCATCCTGCCCTCCCTTCAGAGCGCRTCTGGACCTCTGTCTGGACCTCTGCCTGGACGTTGCTGAGTTTCTGTTACTGGATTGTGAGGGGAGTATGGCTGCAGCAGCCACAGTCAGCAGTGTTCTCTCCCCTTCCCAGGCAAGAATGCCATGTGGTGTTCTGTGCTGCTTGTTTTTATTATCCAAAAATATTTTTTTAAAGAAGTGTTATTTTTCAACAGATCCATAAGTCAGTTCTTGTTGTACAGTGAGTTGCAACCACCACTGTCAGTTCAATGTGGTGTCTTGAGTTCTTACCACTTGTTCCTGACCTATGTCCCCAGAGCTCTTCTGGTGGC